CAGCGCGTGCAGCCTGGATGTGTGTGTGTGTGCGCGCTGCTACTTTGTACTGTGAAGAACACACAGCCCATGTGCTCTGTATGGATGTTGATGATACTCTGTGTAGCTTGAATCTCTGCAAGCAGGCAAGATGTCCAGCACACCACATGACCCTTTCTATTCTTCTCCTTTTGGCCCATTTTATAGGAGACACACACCATACATGGTGCAACCAGAGTACCGAATATATGAAATGAACAAGAGGCTGCAGTCGCGGACGGAGGTAAGTCCCTCAGCCTTGTTTTCCTGTGCATGGACCGTGGTAGGTTTCAGCCCGAATTCCAGCTGAAGCGTCCCACTAGACAGTATACAGTATATGCAGGCACGAACCCTAATTAATTTAGTAGTTTAATTGGGTAATCCCTCATTATGTTTCCACGCAGAGCAACTCTTTGAGGAGATACCAGCTTACGCTGAAATCTTGAAATTACAGTACAGCACTTCAGGATCGATTGTAACGCTGGTCTCAGGAAATTTCTTTGCTTTAGTGTGTTGTTTGCTCAGGATCTGTCCTGCTGGCATTTGCAGCTGTAATATTGCAAGGCATCGCTTCAGCTTTTGCACAAAACTAATTCAGAAATGTTGCAGGTTTAGGTGGAGAGGTCAGCCTTTCTCTGTTTTTGTTTGGTAAACTCGTTAAAATTGAAAATGAATGATAACATAAAACAGGAGCAGAGTTTTAAAAACTTAGTCCTAGGCTGCACTTAAAGAACACATGTTCAGGACGACCGATGAGAGAAATTCATGTTTACATTTGGAATGCCGTTGCTTTTAGCGAGAGAGATGATCGGTTCATGACTTTATCATACAGCTGTCAAAAGTACCCAATTAATGTAAACTACATTCACTGTTGGTTGTGCTTTGTATAATCTGTGAGTGGTTTATACGACCTGGCTTCTACGCCCAGACCAGCCACCACAAAGAATATACTGAATGGGAAGGGGAAATACTTTTGTCACTTAAAGACAAAAAAAAAAAAAAAAAAGAGTGGAGGCTGCATCTTGTTATTTACGTGGTTAAATAAAGCACACTTTTTAGTCTGTTGAAGTGAAAACTGTGTGGACTGAATGAGGTTGCATTTCTGCCCATGTGTCTGTGTTTGTGCAGCAAAAATTCTTGGTACTGCAATTTTTCATAGTAGTTTACTAGTGTTGCCTTGAAAACACTTTTTAAAAGTATTAATCTTTTATAGTGAAAGGCTTTATGTAGAGGCAAGTACCTGCCAAATTCGTGCCATGAAGCATGGTAAAGGATGTCAGATTGATCTGTTTGTTGTATTGTAATTCTTTAAGAGAACATGAGGTTATCATAAAATAAAACACACATGCCTGAATCGTCAGCTAAGCCGTGGAGAATCTGTGACGTTTAATGTATATGATACAGCTAACGAGATGTGACCTGCTTTCTGATTGGGTAACCGCTACGGGGTAACTGCTTTTCTAACACTATCATCACTGCTGGTCTTAAAACATTGCTGTGGAGTAATGGGTAAATACACTTTGTGCTGGCTGAAAACTCCAACCAGCTCATTGCTCCCCAAATCATGGCAACTGTTTGTCAGTTTTGCCCCAAGTTGTTGATTGCAGAGGGTCACTGCCCTTTAGATAGAATGAAAAGGTTTGGGGGGTTTATTTGCTGCTGTTTATTTGTCAGTGTCTTGCAAATCTGTTCCTTACATTCCTGTACACATTAGTGTGATAATTTCTAGACTTTTTCAAGTGAAAAGAAGAAATATGTATCATTAAGTGATTACTTAAAACAAGCTGTTCTGAAAAGCTGTCAGTGCTAATCTAGCCTTTTTACATACTATTTTAGCGGTGCTTTTAATAATTGGTCAGTTTCTGATTGCAGCTCCTTTACAAACGTTACACCAGAAAAGTTTTTGAGGGACTTGTGAAACAACTTCCCCCTCCTGTGTTACTGAGGTGTGCTGAGTTAGACTGCAGCGCATTTAGTTGCAGTTTTTGCTGTCCACATTCACATGGATTGTTGTGGGCAAGAAGCGATAAATTATTCTTCCTTGCTAGTACTGCCATAGGTTTCAGAAACAGTTTACTTTGACAGGCAGTGCTTAGTTAATGAAGACCTTATGCTCCAGTGTTTCTTTATTTGCTCAGAGTAAAAATACTTTGCCTTGTGTTCAGTGTTTACATTCTGGTTCTCTGTTTTTTAATTTCTGAGCTCTGTGCTTTAAGCATAGTTGTTTGTTGAAATGCATTTTCTAGCTAGCTTCAGCTCGTTTCATTCATCCTCTAATTAAAACACCTTCCTTAATAGAAAAAAAGATTAAATTAGTTTCCTGGGACACTTACAGGGACTAGGTGTGGACAGCCCGTAAAGAATCATGCTGGCTTCTGGGGCAGGTTGGGAGTGGAAGTTTCAAATTAATTTTACGCACTTCCAAGCATGTTTGGGATTGGTAGCTGAAGGCTGCTGGAGCATGTATAACTAGCTCTGAATTTTTTGAATCCAGACCGATGGAGCCCTGTATGTCATGGAAGGAACGTGCCTGTGCTGTGGGTGATACAGGCTTACTGCATGAACGTTTCTCTTCAGGCAGTCTTTGGAATAATGTAGGCACTGGTCTCTGAAGGAGGCTGCTTGTACTCTGAGCCCCAGGGGGTAGGTGAGCACAAGTAAAGCAGCTTAAGGGGAAGGGAATGACAAAGAAACTCTCCAAAAGACTGGGGTTAGCAAGCTGGCAGATTCCACTTGGACCCAACTTCTGGAGAGAGCCAGCGGCAAGCGAGGATGCTTGAAAAAAGGGGAACCTACAGCTCTTATCCCAAATATAGTGTTACGGAATTTTCCTGTTTTCCTACAAAGTAAAAATGTTTTTAATAATCCTTTAGAGTCAGATCCTCTGCTGTCCTTTGCAGTGGTGGACATTTCAAGGCAGAGTAAAACATCCATAATTTAATGAATTTGTAGAGGGGGTGGAAGGAGAGCTTATGGAAGGAGTATCTGTATGTCATGTCTATCTGTTTTCTCCCCTCCATTTGTAGGTCCCACATTTGCAGTGAATTCCTGTAGCTGCTCTCCAGCGCTTGCAGATAGGAGACAATGACTCAAAAAAAGCAATGGGCTGGTAGAGACACCATTAGGGAATCCACCAGTAAATGCCGTTTGTACTCCTGCTCGCCCAGCAGCAGGGTCTGCGGTACAGTGGGGGAGGTAGAAGTGTCCTCAAAGTGGCTCTGCGCTTGGGGACCCTCTCTGAGAAATCCACCGCTTCCACTCTGGCTTGTGTCAGCGTTGGGTGGAAGGGAGTAATAGTCGGTGTGAAGGATGTGCTCAGTGTACTAAGCAGACAAAGTGGAGAGTGGTAAATAAAGGTCACTTAGATGCAGCATGGCTGTCTTTGTTGTTCTTGTTTTCTTTAGGGAGAAATGGTACTCATGAAAGTGAAGAATTAGCAACTCTAGCTTGTGCTAGATGAGCAAACTTTTGCTCTCCAAACTTCTAACAACTTTATGGGCTCCTCAGGCAGAACCTACAACAGCCTTTTTAAATTCAGGGTCAGTCTTAGGCGAAGAATTCCAATCACACCCAGGCAGGGGGTGGTTTTATGATGTAAGTACTGGCAAGAGTCCACCACCTAGCTAATTCTTATGTGATCTAAAGTAAATTAGGGAGTCTGAGTTCCTAACTAGTGTACAGGAACACCTTACCTTCCTTAAAAGTTGTTCAAAGAAATCTAATCTGGTAATACTTTTTTCTAAATGGAAATTAATACATGCTTTCTTAATAATACATTGTGAGGGTCTACTGCCATTTTATAATGCATCAACAATCTTGATTTAAAGAAGTAAAATGGTTATTTAAACGTTTATTAATCTCTGGCAGATATAAAGATAAATCTTATTTACTTCTATCATAGTTGATTAACTTTCTGGTTTATCAAAATGCAGCTGTTTCCTTGCTCTGTGTGTGGTTTTAAGGATTTCATTACCATTCACTCAAACTCAGTTTATCTTGGTATTTTTATATCTCTGTTAGTTTAACATTTCAAGAAAGCAATCCTGTTGTGGCATAATCAGCAGTTTCTAAAGTTCTAGGTAGCAATACACAACATAGGTAAATTAGCATAAGTATTTTTTCTGTTTTGCATAAAACTCGATGTTTTAAAAAAAAGCCTCTTTTCCTCTTTGATGTTGTAAATCCTTTTCTGTTCTAATTTTTAATAATTTGGAATTGCTCACACTTAAAACAAAAGGTGATTGCATCTTGTATATAATTATTTTTCAGTAACATTACAGTGTGCTGTGTATAGATCACTTAAAGCTGCTGACAGTTTAAAGTTTGAGGTGTTGCATTATTGCCCATAACCAAAGAAATGTATCAAGCCTTTCATTTGTTTATTTAATCCCCTATACTGTTAGAACTTTTGTGTATCACAATATGTTAAATTCACCTGTATCTCTCTCTCCCTGTCACTACAAGAGGTCATGCTTCACATTACCATTACATGCAAAACACAGCCTTCCTTCTGGCTAAGACAGCAGTGTTTAAGGGTGACTAGAGAACTTGATTAGTAGCCTATTTGTTTTAAAGATAATCAGCTTAATCAAATCATATTAAACTCCTATTAAACTATAGTGAATTTAACAAAAGTAGAGATTTCATGATGGAAGAAAATATTAAGAAAATTAAAAGGAAAATAAAGGAGGATGTTATGATTATTTAAAAACACTAAATGAACTGGAAGCTTACACAAGACATTCATATTCAACCAAATACTTAAAGCAAAGCAAATCAATGCAAAACAAAATTTCTGCACTTTAATGGAGGTCTCTTCTTTTACTTCCTCACATTGCTATCTGATGAAATAATCTTTTCTTCTTCTTCCTGATGCATTTTTAATAGATTAGTCATAAAAATCTGTGTTGTGACATCACATTTGTTCACATAGCAACTTAGTATCACAAACAGATCTCTCATATTGTGTACATAAGTCTGAGTTTGTCCAATGAGTTTGTTTTGTTGAGGGGAAAACACATAAACTTCTGTCTCAAATATTTTTGAGGAAATGTTCTTTCACCCACAAATATACTGACACTTAGCAATTCTAGGAGCATGAGTAAAGTATTTTAAAAGAGTACTTATAAACCATGGTTTGCTGAAACTAAAAGGTCAGTTTTAAAAGAAAACCCTTGAACTCCTTTAGGCAGACACTGACTTCAGAATGGATTCAAGGCTTTTTTTACTGATTGTCTTTTATTT